AGCTGCTCAGATTGGACAGTCAGAGCAGCCTTCTTGGAGATGATATTTGACTTGAAAGCCCAATGAGGAGGAAGCAGTCAGTTAAGTCACTGTAAACAGCATGTGTAAAGGGCCTGGGGCGGGAACAAACTTGCCGTGTTCCAGAAACAGAAAGCAGGCCTTCACAGCCTCAGGAGCACGGCGATCACGGTGAGTGAGAGGACACGGGCTGGGAGACAAGGTCAGGGACCCGGGCAGGGGGTTCAGGACCCTGGGAAGCCTATGTGCAGAGCTTTCTGCAGCAGAGACTTGATCTGACTTGAATTTTTAAAACTCCACTCTGGCGACCATAAGAAAAATAGACATGGGGGACAAAAAGCAAAGGCACCAAACAGCAGACTGAAATAGTGGCTCAAGGGGAGTCAAATAAACTCTGTCCCTCAACTCTAAGAGTCCACCTCCTCAGACGCTCTATGAGGTCAAAAATGAGAAGTTGGTCAAAGGGAGATGTTTGTTCTTTAAAGCAACCACAGCCAACCAGGTGGCATTCAAACAGCACACAAAAGAGGGTGAGTGACAGGCCCTTTCCACACAGGGCAGGACCCAGCCACCTCCTAGGGGCAGAACAAGCGGCCATCTGTTCTGGGGCCAGAGAGTAGAGCAGCTCCCGCCTTGTGTCCCTTCCAGCCCTGGGACTCGGGGACTACAAGGCCAGGGCTCCTGGACACCCAGCCGACGCAGACTGCCTCTCCAGCCAGCACGCGGGGCTGTCTCGGGCTCTCCCAATGGGAGAGCGCAAGAATCCTCCCAGACGCCAGCCTTCAAACCCTAAGGACAAAACAACCAACGCTGCCATCATAAAAACAGACAACTAGACCACCTCCGGCAACACGGGCGTGGGAGGCAGGGACGGATCTGACAGAACCTCTAAAACTAAACACCAATTTAAGGTAACTTAAGGGACAGCAGAACATGTGAAACAATACTAGGAGACACCATCCGCAAAATCCTGACTGTGGGAAACTCCCTGCGACACACAACTCAGTTATTTCAACAACTGTAAAGAAAAAAAGAAGAGTTAGGGGAGGAAACTTAGAGAGAGAGAGAGCCAATCACGCTTCTGTGACACAGCTGGAGAAATCGGAACACTGAACATGAGAGTAGGAAATCAGGGTTAGTTCAGGATGTATGGCAAGGGCCGTGTTATATTTTTTAGAAGGACTTTATCTTGGAAATGCATACTGAAATATTTCAGAATAAAATGATATAATGTCTGGGATTCACTTCAAACTGGGTATTATATTACACTATTCCCTCTCCTCTGTGCACTCTGTGAACTTGATGCAATACAAGTTTGGTGTTTTGTTTTTTTTTAATCTAGGAATGGGCTTTTTCTGATGACCTACCCAGGAAAAACCCATTGGACATGATACCCCACAACGGAGGAATCAGATTCATCGGACACACTGCTCTGCCCTCCGGAGCCATTAGTGATTTGCTGACTGATCAGTGAATTCATCCCTCCCTCTTCATAAACCCCATGGTGGTAGCTGTTTCAAATAACTACCCCCAGTAAGAACCAGAGTTCTTTTCCATTTATGCTAACTGCCCTCTCCCCAGTCCAGAATGCCATGCCCGAGGCCACACTGACTTGATCCACGCCCTTCAGAACACACACATTTCCCTGTGTTCCCACCTCGGTCCTTCCTGCCACAAGTGCCCACCTCCCCCGCAGAGGGTGCCACACGCCCCAGCACCCCTCAGGTGGGGCTGCAGTCCGACCCACCCTGTCCACAAGAAAGCACGCTCTGGAAAGCAAAGCTCAGAGGAACTCTTTACTCAGGTGCCTCCTCGGAACCAGGCTCAAACCCAGTCCCCTCGCAAACCCACCACTGCTTTGGCAGGGTCCCAGGTGACAGCATCCCTGGAGGACAGAAAGAAGCAGAACCTCCAGGCCCGTACAGAGTCGTCCTGCCAAGGTTGATGCACACCATACCCATTTCTCCAGGAGGCCAACTGAGGCTGGAGCCCAGTTCTCCGGACCTATGGACCAACAGTGCCTGGGAGTGAGTGCCCTGGTTCTGGGCCCATTTGGGATACCTGTGTCATTACCGCCCCCCCTGGCACTGCTACCTGCTCCAATATATATATTTTAGGTGGCCTGGGGAGAGCAGGATGATGTCAAGGATTGAGGACCATCACTGCAAGTCATCCCTTCTGGCCCACAGTGTTGTCTGCACAAGCCTGTCAATCAGAGGTGCTGGGAAGATGGATGGATGATCAAGCCTGCTTGGAAAAATGAAGAAGGGGCCTGAGTCTGACCTGACCCTGCAAGGAGAGGAGGGGAAGAAGGAGGAACTCCACAAATTTCACACCCAGCCTGCAGTTTAGGGAGTGCTTAAGAGAGGTTGGCAGCTGAGCCTGCTCCAGGCCCCCCGTGGCCAGTGCCAGCAGAGGAAGGGTCCTAGTGGACACTGAACTGATTTCAGGTGCTTAAAGAAACAGAAACTGCAGATTACAGCAAGGGAAGCAAAGGTCATGTAACACCAACATGCAATCAATCACTCTCTCCTTGAGTAGGTTAAGTCCATGGACAAACCTGTCAGACTGACAGAAGCAGCAGCGGAACAGGATGAAGGCAGGGGCTGGGAGGGTCACCAACATCTGCTGCATTGCAGGAAAAAGTCCAGTGCATCCAGGAGGACAAGATGTCATGAGCCTGGGGCATCCTCGCTCAGCCCAGTCCCTTCCTGTCCCCTGTCCAGGCCCTTCCCAGTGCCTCACTGCTCTCCCCACCAGGGTCGTGCCTGCCCGACTGATTCCTGGGCCACGGCTGGTTGGTCCTGGCCACTAGCGGGGCTGCCCCCATCAGACATCCTAACTTGGCTTCTAAGGTGCAGGCCCAGGGAGAGGAGAATGGGAGCAGCTCTGATGGAACCCCTCCACCCTCACGCAGCACTTCCCACCTTTCAGCTGCATGTTTCCCGTTATCTCACCTGAGCCTGCAAAGCCCCTTGTGTGGATGCAGGAACTCAAGCTCTGGAAGATGAAATCCATCCATCACATCACAGGACTAGAACTTCCAGCTCCCAGTTCAGGGACATCCCTCTACCCCTCCGCCCCCCAACCACACACCCTGTACTCAGAGACAGGTGCTGGTCCGGTGCATCTGCCTTCTGTAAAGTACATCCTCCTCCTCATTCCTCAGAGCAAGCCATCCCATACCCTCCTGCCTTCAGAGGGTTGGCTGGCTCGCCCCACCTCTGCAGATAAAAAGCTGAAGGGCAGGGAATGGAAAAGAATCAAAGTCTAGGGAAGAATGGGGTCTAGACCTGGAACACTGGACTCCAGAGTCTTGCTGGCAGCATTTTCTGCTTGACATGTGTGTCCCCAACATCAGCCATTCCTGGGTCACCTGCAGGATTTCTGCCATTTTCTGTTCCATTACTATTACTACTATTTCTGTGAAAGACTCATTCTTGTGACTTACACATTCAGCTTGGGGCGATGCTTTCTGTCACCACCACAAAGGGGACAATCAGTGCCCCTGAGCATAACTAGGGGGAAACCCTAACAGTAAATAGTGCAAGAACAGCCCATGTTGTAGGGAAGCACTGTTCCCCATTTAAAGGCCCTGAGCCAGAGGTCTGCTCTTTGTTATAAAAGGGAGATAAGCAAGTGTTTAAAAAGTGTTAAAGCCAAGACTAGCACCAACCAGAAGCTTTCCCCTTGAAGAAATCACAAGGATTCACAGAGAACTGAAAAGGGAAGAACTTTCTCACTGAGTGACTCAATGTTATTTCATGCTTAATCACCTGAAGTCGTTTTACTGGAGAGTCATCCTGTGCTGTGGAAACATCACATGAGACTACACACGGGAGGGATGCATTGGGGGGGGGGATAGGAGACAACCGCAGGGCCACCCATGCCCGCTTCTCTCAGTGCTCCAGCCTGCCACCTTCCCCAGGCACACACAGCTTCCGGGCAAGTCCGAGGGCCACCAGTCACCACCCAAGTGTCTCTGGCTCCTCTGTCCTTGTCTTAGCCCTTGTCTAATGCAGAGCAGAGCACTCCAAAACTCTGTAAATTAGGATCCAGCAAGGCCATGGGAGGTTACCTCAACTCCACAAAACATGTCTGTGAACAGCCAGCTCCCATGGCCCTCAGTTGCTGGCCAGCTGAGGGCTCCTGCACCCCTAGCAGGGGAAGGAGGCTGTGCCAGCATGTGTGGGCAGCTCCATGGGGTCTTGTGAACATCAAGCCTGCAGCTGGGGAGCTGGAACCCAGGAAGCTGCCCCCAGAAGCTCCTATGCCCACGGGAAACCCACACCTCATCCCATAGGTCGTCCAGCTATATCTCTGAAATAAACTGGGAACATGACTTTCAATACCCAGGAGCAAACAATTAGGAGAGTAACCCCAAGAAAAGTGAAGAGTTAAAACCAGAAAAACCCAAAGACAGAAGGCATGGGGTGGGGGGTGGGAGGGTTGCAGGGAGGGAGGGGTTGAAGTAACCTCTAAACGTGCCCCTTGGCTGCAGGAACCAAACTCAATGCAAGCAGATCATGGCCTGGCGGGCACCTCGCTGGTTCGGCCAAGTTGCAGAGAAGCAAATGGCATCCCCAGCGCATTGAGTCACTCGGGCTGAGCCGGAGACTGTGTTACCCGGGTTGGATCAATGCTACCCGCGCTGCAGGATTCAGCAAGGGCGCCGCGATCGGCAGATGCCGCGACTGGGGGCTTAGCACTTGGTGGACTTGGGGCTAAGGACTCGGACTAGGACGAAGCCCTAAGGGGCCTTCCAGGTGCCCGCCGACCCAGCCAATGCCCTGCCTGGGCTTCCTCCTAACAGCCAGTCTCTGGTGCCAAGCTCCGAACTCGCTCCCCCGACGGCGCCCGGAGTAGAGGCATTTCCCATCCAACTCCGAGCCTAATGCCCTTTTGGGAAAGTCGACCCCAAAGAAAACAGGATTTTGGCACGAGAGCGGAGGGAAGGGGGAGGTAGCGATGCCAGGCTTTACCTTTTCTCTTTATTCTGTTTTCGGGATTTGTGCAGGAGTCCGATGAGCACCACCGCGGCGCGGATCCCCGCCTTTCGGCAATGCATCCTCCCCGCCGGCTGGGACATGGCGAGGCCGCCGCGGGTGCCCGGCCGCGCCCTCGCCCGCCCGCCGCGCGCCCCCGCCGGCCCGGCTCCGCGCGCTCCGCGCCGCCTGCTCCTGGCCCCCGGCCGCCAGCCTCGCATGGATCCCGCTCCGCCTAGGTGCGCCCCGGGGGTCAGGTGACTGGGCGCTCACTTCCCGGCGACCTTCAGCGTCTCCTCCGGGCCCACGGAGCGGCAGGCGCTCGCTCCCCCAGCGCGGGCATTTCTAAGGCTCGCTCGGGGCGCGGCCCGGTGGGGCGGCTCTGGGGCTCCGGCTCAGACGCGCCCGCCCTCGCAGGGAGCCCGCCCTGGCCCCGCCCCCCGTGCTTGGCCCGGGGCGCCCAGGCTGCGAGCGGATCCGGCGGCCGGGCCGCCTGCACCGGGAGACAGACTGTCCGCTCGCGCTCGGCACTCTCGGGGGTCTCGGCGCCCGCGTTCGCCCACTGCCCCGCGCCCGGGCTCCTGCCCTTCTCTCGCTTCTCCTCTCTGTCCCCGCCTCTGCGCCCCCAGTCCTCCGCCCCCGCTGGCCGGGCCGGGTTCCCTCTCCAGGCAAAGACGGCTGACGCGCCTTCCCAGCCCGGCCCTCCGGGATACTTCTCCGATGCTGTCACTGTCTTTAAAAACAGGGAGAAAAAACGTGCACGGAGAGGAAACGCGCGCCCTCAGTCCAAGTGAAACTGCCTTTGCGCGCGGGCACCGCCGCGGGCCTCCGGGCCCCAGACCCACGCTGCCGGGTGGTGAGAGGGGCACAGGGCGCCAAGTGCCTGCCTTCCCCGCCGGAGGCTCCCTGGCGTTAGGACTCAGTCGGAGGCTACTTCTCCCCTCTCCCCAAGTCCAGGAAAGGATTGTGGTGTGGTGTGGAGTGAGGGTGGTTCACTCCAGCGTGGGCGCCTGAGTGGGCTGAGGTCAGTGCTCCGGTTAACATTTGTTTTCCTGACGGTCCTTTTCCCCGCGGCTGCAATTTGGCCTCGCGTCCCAGTTGCCAGGGAGACGCGGGGGTGGGAGAGGGAAACATCCCACCCCACCCCACCCGCATCTCGGCTCCAGCGCGGGCCGCGGCACACACCGCACGGCGGTTTTCCCCTGCCCCTGCGCACCGCGTGCAAGCTGCATCCTCACAAAAGGCACGCCAGCTCGTGGGGGAAGGGGCCCTGGCCGGGTCCCTGCTGTGGGCGCGGGGTACTCCTAAGCGCCACTTCCAGTTCCTGCAGGGAAGTCTAACCCCCTCTCATCACCCACCTCCCTGAGGGCTTCTCCCTCCAGGCCCCTAGGAAAGACCATCATCGAGCGGGCTGGAGGGAATTAAAACAAGCCAACTAGTCAATCTTTCTCAACAGCCCTGTTGGGGCCAAAGAGGTTCCTGAGGCAATTTGCTTTTTTTTTTTTTTGCTTTTTTTTTTAGTAGTCTGGTGTTCAAGCAAGCACAGAAAATCCAAGGGCCTGAGGCCTCAACCCCACCTCTCCTGTGGGCACAGCTTCTTGCTGGCATGGGAGTTGGAATGGAGGAGAGGGAGCACCAGGCTGGTGCCCAGATGTGCCTGGTTTATTTATGATGCATCCATTAACAATGGCCTCAGTGCCCCCCCTCCCCAGCCTGCCTGGGTGGTGGGGATCACAGATATTGCCATGGGCATCTATTTATAGCCAGAGAGTGAGTGACCCAGGCCCCACCCCTGGGACTGCAGCTAGACTAGCTGCCAAACTACACCAGTAGTGACCTTAGAATCCGTCTAGAAACAAGAATGGGGAAATGAACGTCCTCAGTGGGGAAGCGGGCAGAGCCCAGCACAGGCAGCCCAGGGCTTGTTCTGCCTCCAGCGGTACACGGAACTGACAGGTTGGTGATCGGCCGCCTCAGCCAGATGGCAGGGAGGATGCTGGGGGCACCGGCCACAGGTCCAGCCCCAGAAAGTGGTGTATTTTATTCACACACAAGGTCTCAGGGCAGGGCCTGACTCCCTCCCCCAGGGACGTGTGGGTAGCCCCCACCCATCTCCCACTGTCTGGGAGAGATTTTAGGTCAAGTGTATCAGTGGACAACAGGACCCTGGGATGAAAGTGAAAGGATTTTCCACCTAGCAGGTAACTTGATTCACTGTGGTTCTGGGATCCCAGACCCTCTCAGCTCCTCTACAACCACAATTGTTTCCAGCCCTAGTGAGGCTAAAAAGACAAGGTTGTCCCCCCAAAACCATAACCTGATCTGATCCCTGAGAGGTTTCTTGGGGGTGGGGGAGCCCGTCCTCTGCCCACACCCCACAGCATAAGGGAACCCATGCACAGCAGAGAACATGGTAGCCACCTGTGCTGGATATGCCCATTCCACCAGCGTTCACTGAACAGTCAGGACGTGTCCCACTCTGTGCAAGAGACCAGGGCAGGAGAGAAACAGAAGACCACCCTCGCCCAGAACAAATCGTCCCATTCCCACTTGCTTGTGCGTTGTGACCCAGCCACTGTTCTCCAGATCTGGGCCATTCATGTACCACCTTCCCACCGTATAACCTAGTTATTTAATCCTTTTTTTAGGATTTTATTTATTCATTTCTAAAGAAAGGGAAAGGGAGGGAGAAAAACATCAATGTTCGAGAGAACCATCAATCGGTTGCCTCTCTCACACCCCCTAATGGGGACCTGGCCTGCAACCCAGGCCTGTGCCCCGACTGGGAATCAAACCTGGTGCTCAACCCATGCAGCCACACCAGCCAGGGCACACTCACCTTTTTATTTAATTAAATCAACGCACTCTTTACTTAGTTATATAAGAAAACATTGTTATTACCCTAAATGAAGACTCCAGTGTCACTTGTTATTCACACCATGAAAACAAATACAAATGTCTTAAACTTGAGCTCAATACTGAAGGCTCTGAGCCTGAAGTACCTTCATTAAAATAGAAAAATAGCCGAGTGTTCAGTGTCAGCCACACACTTGCCACCAAATGAAAACAAAAACACTGTCCATGGGGCACTGCAGGGTGGACCGAGAAGGCTGGGCACATCCAGTCCACAGGGAGCGGGGCAGTGAGGACTGCAGTAGTCCGAGAAGGGGTCTTCTCCCAGATCCCAATCCACCCGGCACAGCTTGTCCCCAGCAGCAGTGTCCCAAATCACAGGACCTCCGGGCCCAAGCGAGCCCTCCTCCCCCAAGCCCACAGTCCTTGAAAACAAAGTGCCATGCAGCTGCCAGCCGGGGCTCTGCCCCGATCTGGGGAATCCCAAAGGCTCAGGGCGCCTGGTTAGGAGGGGAGGTGGAGGGGGTCAGGGAAGTTAATCATGAGCACTGGACCCAGCTGCACAGCCTCGTCCTAAGGAGCCGGTGGGGTGAGGCAGGCAGACACGCATGCTTGGGCCTGAAGAAAAGGGCCTTCTGTGCCTGGGAGCCGGCTCCAGGAGACGCATTTGTGTGAAACTGGGAATCAGCCCCAGTGCTGGAGCCTAAGACTCAGACAGAGCTGGGACCAGTGCTCCCTCCCTGGCCTACACCACCTCTGACTCCAGGGCCTTTACCGCCCCACAGAATGAATTGGGAGTAGAGGTGGGGCCAAAGGAGCTTTGGAGCCATGGGGCGGGCCTTTTAGGAGACCAGGTATCTTCAGATGCCTTCCCCTCCCCTTCTGCAGGGAGAGAGCCTGCAACCGTCCATGAATCACACAAACTTTGGAGCAATTCAAGAGTTATAAACACACATTAGACCTGCTCAGGACAGGCTGGCACCCCGGCTCTCTTATGCCTTTAGAGGCCCACCCACACACACACCAACTGGGAGAAATCACTCAGAAGCCGCCTTCACCTCTCACTTCTGCAGAGCACTCACACCTGTGCTACTACGACTGCCCTTCATGCTTGGCTGGTACATCAGCGCCCCCTGCCGGGCCACATTACAGTTGCACTTCTGGAGTGGGAACCATGAGAGGGAACCACCATGAGAGGGAACCACCACGAGAGGGAAAGGAGAAAGGAAAGGGGGAGAGGGAGAGGGAGGGCAGAGAGGGAAAGAGGAGGGAGGGACAGAGAGAGACAGGAAGGGGGTGGGTAAGGGAAAGACTGAGAAGGTCATTTGAGGTAGGGAAGCAGTTTCTATTTTGGAAGGAGAGAGACAGGAGTCTTTGCCAACATGTTGACTCTCCTCCCAGCTCCTAATCTCCTCTCTCCGAGCCCATGACCACCCGCCAAGGGGTGCATCCCATTGCAACAGGGTCCTTCAATGACGACCACAGCCATGGCCAGGCCGGGCTGGGAGGCCTGAGAGCCAAGCTCAGGAACCACAGCTCAGCTGTGCTTTCCTGGAGCCACACACATCACACTGTACTGAAGTTCTGGCAAGAAACTGGCTCAGATTTTGGAAACATCTTGGTGACTTGCGTGGCATTTCCGAGCTCCGGGGAAAGGAAGCCATGCCCCGAGGAAACCCACAGATCCCACTCGGTGGCAGGCACCCAGCCTGTGGACGGCGTTTGCTTCGGTACCCTGAGCCTGCAGTGCACGTCAGTCCGAAGCTGGGTTACAAGCAGGAGGCTGAGGGAGGAAGAAGGGAGTTTGTCGTCTATTTCTTGGGTTACTGAAGGTATTTAAAGTATTTCTTTTTGGTTAATTTATGGAATGTTGAATCCATGAATCCAAGCAGCATGACTATAATTTTTACCATGGGAGGAATATTCAAAAGGATTTTTCTAAGTGTGAAATTTTGATGAACACGAAGAAGTGAGTTTTGCATGGAAGCTGCCCAGGGGTCACTGCAGGGAATCAAGAGCCGATGAGGCTCCAGGCTGGGTGACCGAAACCAGGCCTCTCATACCCAGGGTGCCCCAGCCCCCACCTCACTGATTCCCAAGCCTCCGCAGCTACTGCTGCCACCGAAGTCACTTCCAGCTCTAGGGTTTCTGGGGCTGACTGGAAAAGTGGGGAGGGAAGCTGTCTTTCCATAATATTAGCAACATTGCTTAGCAACATCTTTCAAAGCAAGAACCAGTAGACCCTCCAAAAATCCACTCTGTTTGGCTCTACCAAAAACACAGAGTGGTTTCTCATACATGTATTACTAATACACTATTTCATATGCCCAGTGACGCCTTCTGTGCCCGTGCGCCTGGCTTCCTGGAAGGATGACGTGCCACAGCTGAGCACCAGTTCCAGACGACAGAGCTTTGAGTAGAAAACTTCTGCTTGTTTGCTTGCTTGCTTTTATTGCGATGACCTTGGCTACACGTTTCTCTAAAATGCCTTCTATATTTTTGTCCTTTATAAAGACAGGTTTAAAGTAACCTGTTCCTCATGATTCCAAGCCATTATTACCAATACCGTCTCCTGTACTGAGTGGGCTAAAACCCAGTTATGCACTAACAGGCCATTAAGGTGAGGACCCATTTGTCCCTGTCACAATGGAATGGCCTCCATCAGCTGTGGCACAAAGATGCCAGTGAGAGAATAAAAGCTAAAAGGCTCTGCAGTCAGACACACCTGGGCGGGAACTCCATCT